GGGGACACAGGAGGGAGCTGACACTGTCCTTCTTTCTATGGAGCTGGCATTCTAGAAGCAAGGCATCAATAAGATACAAGGGCAGAATGTCCAGCCCATAGTGAACAGGGCCAAAACAACGGTTGAAGGAAGTGACAACCAGGACAGGGATACAGCAAGAGGGGGTGACACTTAACATGGAAGTCTGGATGATAAACAAATTCATAAATACATGTTAGGTGGTGTCGAGGGGGTTCAAGGGAAAGAAAGTGGATGAGGAGGTAAGGGGGGGATTGGGGTGGTCAAGGAAGGCTTCTGAAGAGGTGAGACTGGAACACAGAGCCGAGGAAAGCACACAAGCAGTCAGTGCTCATGATCTGAAGAAGTTTCTAGAGAAGGAAAGAGTATATTCAAAGGCCCTGAAGTGGGTGAGTGCCCCGGGTCACTGATTGTTTGAGCAACAGGAAGGAGCTGCTATGACTGGAGTGGAGGGACAAAGGGGAGAATGGGAGGCGAGGGGCCTCTACTCTGAGTAGGTGGGAGACATGGAAGACTGTTTGCAGAGGAGCAGCAGAGTGTGACATTGGTTTTGACAGGATCCCTTGACTGCCTTCTTGAGAACAGACATTGGGGGCAAGGGCAGGGGCAGGAGCAGTGCGGCCAGGAGGAAGGGACTGGGACTAAGCAGGTAGGGACGGGGGCAACGGCAGCACAGGGGACTCTGTGCACACTCTGAGGCAGAGTGATGGGGTTTGCTGATGGGCTGAATGTTAGGCGTTAAGATTTTGGCCTGAGTACCTGGAAAACTGGAGCGGGTGAGTGCTGCCTGCAGAGGAGAGGGACAAGACCAGGAAGTTGTGCTGAGCACAAGGGCCTAACAGGCAGGGGATCTCAGAAGGTGTTGCTGAGGCTGATGGAAGTGGCCTGTTGGGTTCAGGGCAAGGAGCAAACAGGCAGAGTGGGAGGGAGAGAGGCAAGAAGGCAGCTTAGCTTGAGGGTCATGTGCACTTGTTCCCCACCCCCATCCCTGCCTTCAAAGGCAGTGTGACTGTCAGGGACACCCAGCACCCTGTGTAAAGGGGCATCGAGTGCAATGCCCTATGCCCTGCCATGGCAAGTGCTGGCACTGAGGCCACACAGTGAGGGAAGCTGCCCACAGTGCATGGTCAAGCCCAGGTCCTCAGGCAACCTCCCTCCCCAGCTTTGTGAGAACAGCTGAGGTGCTCAGGACCAAGACTGAAACAGGCTCCAACTGGGAATCCTGGCAAAGCCTGGCTTGAAAGGAGAGGGAGCTCCCCTCTTCCCTGGCACATTCTAGAATGTGGGGGTAAGGGCAGAGGCTCACCCCCATCTCTAAAAGTCTGTACAGATAGCAGACGTGGGGGTGAGGAAGCCACCCCAGAATGCAGATGCACGTAGGAATGTGGGAGGAGAATGGTGTCACCCCAAGGAGAAGATGGCACTCATCCTAATTCACCAGGAAGGGTGGAGAAAGGTGCTTTGTTTCTCCTGAAGAGTTGGGTATGGAAATCTGAGACTGGCATCCAGAACTCCTTTCCTCTCATTCTTCCCCATGGCCTTCCATTTCTACTTGGGGACCTTGGGGCTAGGGAGCATTGGAATCTACTTGGGGATCTGGGAACAGGTGGGGAGGCTAAGCCCATTGGCCGGCTCCCACATTCTCCATGGTGATTGGGCCAGGGATTGGCATGTGACTCCAGCTGGCCCAATCAGAAAGAATCACACAACTTCAACATTCTGAGAGAGTGACACTCTTGCTCTGGCTGGAGCAGAAGCTCTGAACATGCCCGTGACCAGGTGAGACCTTGAGTTTTCCCGAGAAATCAGGAACCAAGGGATCTGAGTCTGCCTAAAGCTTCAGCACAGCTTATCAAAACCAGTCCTAGCTGGCTTTCTGCCTCTCCAATCTGAGGGCAGTTTACTGCCCACGAGCATCGCACATCTTAAGGAGAGGCAGAGCAGCGAGGAAGGCCCTGGCTCACAGAACCCATGTTGCCCTTCAGAGCTGAGGGTACGGGGCCAGAGCGGAATTGCTGGGTGGGAGGAGGCGCGCATTTGCAGCCTTGGTGGAACTGAGTAAATGCTTCAAGGTGGCAGGCTGATTTGCTTTCCACTGCCAGTGTGTGGCCTTAGTTTCTGACAGCCTCAGCAGCTGGCGTGGTAGGACCTCTTGGTATGTGCTGTGGTGAGAGGAGACAGGGACTTGAAGGCTGCATTGGCTCTTTGAGGACTACCTGAGGTCCAATGCACTGTCAGTCACCAGTTCACTGGTCCGAGGTCGTTTGTGTGAACCACTGTCATCACTAAATTTCTTAAGTGCTTACCACAAGCCAGTCACTGCTGTAACATAGGCTTCACGAAACCCTGTGAGCCAAGTGATATTATTGTGTACAGTGAGGAAAACAAGGCAGAGAAGTGAAGCAACTAGTCCAAGCTCAGGCAGCCCGAAGGTGCAGTGTCCAGATTCAAATTCAGGCACAGCCCGTGTTCTCGAACACTTTGCAGAGAGCTAGGAGGGTTTCCTGCTGAGAGCCCTGAGTAATGGAGCCTTGTGGGTAAGTCCCTGAACAGTCAGGGTGGCACAGGTTCAGCTGCTGACATGTGCCAGGAAGCCACAGCCAGAAACATTCACAAATTGATATTTATCCTGCCAAAAGTTAGCATCTCTCACTTCACCCTCTATCGATCTCTACAGGAAACATGGGTGACACAAGGTGAGATGACTGCAGAGGGAAAGCGCTAATCTTTTCAAAGATGCGGGATTATGTGACATTAATTAAGGTGGTGCTAAAGGACAGTTTGAGACACACACAAATCCACCCAACAATCTGCTGTTGGAGACCAGGGAAGAGCAGACCACCGAGAAGGACGGCAATGCGGGAGGCTCTTCACAGCGAGATTCAGAAGTCAGAGGAGGGACAGGGGCCGTGGAGGCCCTCCCTGAGCTTGCTGTGACACTCAAGGTGAAGTGGAGGATGTCATTTATGCCACCATTTATGTTCATGGGACAAATTACACCCCTCACTGATACCTCATCAATCTACGGGCTTCAGAGAGCTTCATTAGTTACAGCCTAACCTTTGCTAAACAAAGTAAAGCCATTTTCAAAACTGTGTATTTCATTTTTTAGGATAAAGTATCTAACCTGATCCATCAGTAGCACTTTTTATTGTGAACGTCTGGCTTCTGGCATCCTCCTTACAGCTGGCCTCCCAGATTCGAGGATATCACAAACACAAAGAGCTGAGAACCACACCATGGTCCAGATTCGAATTCCCCCTCAGTATCTATTTCTTCTTCTAGCAAACTAAAATAATTTTCAGCTGTGCAAAGAACCACCCAGAATAAAGACTACATTTCCCAGGCTACTTTGCAGCCACATGTGATCATGTGACTTATTTCTGCTTCCAGGACAAATAAGGAGTAGAGTGTGAGTCTTTGACCGATTCATGGAGCAGAACCAGCAAAGCAGCATGGAATTTAGTTCTTTATTTATTTAGAGACAGAGTCTTACCCTGTAGCCCAGGCTGGCTTGGAACTCAGGATCTTCCTACTTCTGCCTCCTGAGTGCTGGGATTACAGGCAGGTACTACCATGCCAGGCTATTCACAGCATGGCATTTTAATTGAGAGCAATAAACAGCTTGGATCTCACTCAAATTTAAATGCAACTCTGTCAGCTTTCCTGCATGTCTGCACGGATATAGGGTCTAACATGGCTCAAGACCCAGAAGGAGCAATCAGCCATCTCTCCTTGCGGGATTAAAAATCTACTCTACAACCTCATATGTACCTTGAGAAGAAAATTCATCGAAAAGGGATTGTGAATTCATTATCATGTCTTCTTGTCATTTTCTCAATAGACTCTGATTAGTGGTACGTAATACCATGCAGTTTAAATGTTTTCATTTTAAACAACAATTAAAACTCCAGGCAGGCATGGATAGCATTTCTGGACCTGAGTGGCAGGTGCCCCTTTAATCGGGGCCGATGCCCAAGCCCCCAGCCATCTAAAGTTCAGGCCACAGTAATCTCTGACACACCACTTTCTGCCAGGCCCAGAAAGCAGCAGGGTTGTGTGTCCATATGCTGGCATGCACAAAGCAGTGGGGCTCTCCAGTTCTCACAGTTGAGCCCACTTTCTAGGTGTTTCTGCTAGTGGGACAAGAGTGTGGGGGATAAACAGCCCCTTGCTTGCTGCACCAGTCCCATGGTGCCTTATCAGCCCAGCTATGCATTGAGAGGCGCCTAGCCCCAAAGGGTCTTGTCATTCCCTCATGTCCCTTCCACCCAAACCAACCCCTAGTCACTTGGATGCAACTTCCTGGGGTGGCAATGTTTGAGCCACTGTATCTGGTTTCCCACCTTCCTTGGCTCCTTGCTGAGGTGGGGAGGATTTATTGTTTTAGATTCAAACAAGTTCAATGAACTGAATCTGGAGGATTTTGCACCAGGGCTGGAGTGTGTGGTGTGCCATTATTTACCTCTGTCTCAGACACCTGGCCTGGCAGAGGAGCCAGGTTCTGGGGACCACCACAGAACCTCCTGCAGGACAGATGATCAGGAGCCAGCGCGATGGCTGGGGCAGTGCTGACAAAGATCCATCTCCACGCCAACACCCCAGTTACCACCACTGGGCGCCAGTCTCTACCTCTGCTCCTCTCCAACCCTCATCCTGATGTTCCAGAACATCTTCCATGCTGATGGTCCGAGCCCATCAATCAGTTCCCTAAATAAGTTAACAGAAAACAAACCCGTGCAGGGACACTGTGGCTTCAATGTGATCAATTCGTATTTTAAGTGGACTCCCTTTTTTCGAAAGTCAAAACTCTTAGAAACAGTCACTCGAATCTGTATTTTTTTCTGATTCCAACACATAGAAACAAACGCGCAACTTTGAAATGAAAGTGGCTTGCTGTACATCCTGGACTCACCTTGGGTAGTGGCCACAAGGACACTGTCCCCCGTGGAGGCCCCGCCCATCCCTCCCCTGCTGCTCACCTGTGCGGTAGCCTGTGCTGTTGAGGTACACGGCAAAGGTGCGGCTCTCGTGCTGCGCCTGCCAGGAGGGCGACGAGCAGTTCTCATTGTTGGTGTAGGTGTTATGGTTGTGTACGTACTTGCCGGTGAGGATGGACGAGCGGGAGGGACAGCACATGGGCGTGGTCACGAAGGCGTTGATGAAGTGCGCCCCGCCCTGCTCCATGATGCGCCGGGTCTTGTTCATCACCTGCATGGACCCTGCAAGCACAGGGTGGGGTGAGCTGGGACCCCTGCTGCCCCAGGGAGCTGCATGCCCATCCATGAGCGGGGTGGACGTCTCAGAACCTGCACCGTGGTGTCCTGGTCCAGTCGACACACATGGTGGGAGTAAAAACCTGCTTTTAGGTGAGCTGAGACTCGCTGGGTGCCGCTGGCTCACGTCTGTAATCCCAGCTATTTGGGAGGCAGAGATCAGGAGGATCATGGTTCAAAGCCAGTCTTGGCAAATAGTTTGCGAGACTCTAGCTCAAAAATACCCAACACAAAACAGGACTGGCAAAGTGGCTCAGGTGGTAGAGCGCCTGCCTTGCAAGGGTGAGGCCCTGAGTTCAAACCCCAGTACCGATCTAAGCCTAGAATCAAACTAACTCTGCTTTACGTATAAACGGGATGTATTTTTGGCAGAGTACTAATATACATGCTTTGGGGGCAGGGGAGGATTATACTGTTTGATTTGGAACCTTCCCAAGAATTGTTCCCTCTTAATGAAACCTGGGCACATCAACCCAAGGCCAACCTTCCTGAGGATTTCCTGGCTGCCCAGCTGCACCCCCACACCAGGGGTCCACCTGGAGCCCACTCTGCACCTGTTCCCAAATCCAACTATGCTGCCCAGCTGCACCCTGGGGGCCCCAGGACACTTTGGCTTCTATTCTCTGACATCTTCTCCCCGCAACAGGTATTATTAGGACTTAAATATACACACCACTAGTGCGCTTTCATTCATGCCTAGTCTCGTTTCTCCGGGAAGCTGGAGGCAGAGCAAAGCTTTGGGAGGAAGGAGATGCACGAGTGCAAGCCCTACTGTGTGCAGGCTGTGTTCCACCAGGGTCAAGGCCAGGCGCTCTATGCACTGCTGGATTCCCTGCACCACATGGTGACACACAGTAGGTACTCAACCCCTGGGGAAAGCGGATGCCTAAATGGACACTGTGGCTGGCGGTCTGGGAAGTATTCCTTGCAGATTCCTCTCTGTCGTGGCCCCTGGGGTTCCCCTTTCCCGGTGGTTTTCAGTATCTAGTGAGCCCCAGAAGTTATGGCCATGACTTAATTGTTGAAATTGGTGAACGTGGCCTTTCTGGAAAAAGGCTCTTGGTTCTTTGTAGACGTAAATGTGCAGATCTTAAGAGGAGGTTAATCTGGCTTGCTCAGGTGTCCACACAGGAGGCAGAAGAGACGCCACCCAGGCCCAGCCCTCTGGGCCACGCAAGACACAGCAGAGACTGGGCTGACGTGTCCATGAGCTGAGGAGCCCCTGGAGTCTTCAGGAGGGGGCCAACCCTGCTGGACCCCCTTGCATTTGGACTCCCGGCCTTCAGAACTCTGAGAGAAGAGTGTTGTCTTAAGCTGCCTGGTTTACTGTAACTTAGTAGGCCAGCAGGAAGCCAACCAGGCTTTTGAGGTTTGGCTGGAGAGCCCTGATTCCAAAGACCCAGAGACCCCCTCCTGAGAACCTCCTCCACCCTTCCCCACCCTGGATGGCTTACGGAAAGGTTCATCCAGCTCTTTTACCCCATCTCTCCAGCAAGAGGGGAAGGAAACGCCAGAATTTCCTTGACACAAACAGGTCCTATCTCTTCACTGCTTAAAATCATCCACAGTTCCCACTGCACTAGGAATAAGGCCCACATTCCTTCCCGAGGCCTCATCTTGCTCAGTGGGTTTGCCGAGGTTGCTCTCCTGATTGTCTCTCAAATACTCTAAGCTCATTCCTGCCCCAGGATCTTTGCACTCGCCATTGCCTCTGTCAGGGCTTCTCTTCTTGAGAACTTTGGCTGGGGAAGCTTATCATGTAGCTCTCAGATCAAAGGTCACATCTTCAGCAGGCCAGCTGACCTTCTGAGCACTGGGTTCACTTCCTGTTACACCATTTATCTCCTGAAATGAGCTGGGGTACTGGTGCTTCCAGCTGGAACTGGTGGGCAACACAGGGTCTTCACTGTGTGGGGTGCCTCCTTCTGGAGGAGTGGGCTTCATTAGGCCTTCCTGGAGCAGATGGTGCTACTCAGCAGAGCCTGAAGGAAGGCCTGAGACTGGAGAGGTCCGGGCTGTGTGGACCCTGAGCCCAGCTGCCCCTTGCAGCTCTGCAGGATGCCTTCAGTTGGTTTCGGAAGCCCCACGGAGCCGCCTCCTCCAGTCTCTATAGCTATCCACCAGTCAGAGCCAGCACCCTGCAGGCACCTCCCTGATGTTCTCACTGTCCTGGGGCCTAAGGCTTCTCTCTGAGGTCCTAAAACAAAGCTGAGTTTCTCTTCCACTCTGCCATAGTGACCTTGCCTCAGGGGTGCACCTGGCTCCAGGACAGGGTCCTGCTGGATCAGTGGATCTGTGCAAGGAAGGGAATCAGCCTACTGTGTTCACTCGAGCGGTGCCTGACACACAGTAGGTGCTTAAGAAATACCTGTTAACAAATGAAACACTGTCTTCCTTTACTGGGTTTCCAGGCTGGGCTGGGGGGTAGATAAGCCTGTGCATTACTGCTCTATGGTGGAGTTTAAATCTGACTTTAGCACTACACAGGTCACCTGATCTCTAGTTTGCCACACTCCCCAGACCTCCTTATAGTCTTACATCAACCTTGCCTTGCCCACTCACATGACCTGCCAGGCCTCAGGGGTACTGGTGAGACCACCTCCCATTTGTCTTCGTTGAGACAGTGCCGACTTCTCCCGGGGGTGGATGGTGTTGCAGAGTAAGAACAGTCATGATTACTAATGGTGGCGGTGGCTGAATGCTTAGTGTTGGGCGCCCGCTATGTGTTACTTAATTCTTCATGGGCCACTTCAGACAAGGAGGCAGAAATGGGGAGCTGAGGGACGGGTTGCAGCCATGCAGCTGGGAAGGTGTAATTTATGGTGCCCAGAATGTCAATGGCGTCTGTGACTAAGCAGCCCGACAAGTTGAGCCTCCCTGGAGGACAGTGACTTGCTTTATTAAAAGTGCCCAGTGATGAGGTGCTATAAATCCACATGTGTAATGTGCAAACATATGACCTAATCCCCGTGCCAGGCCAGCCCCACTGCAGACAGCCTGCACTGATGGTGGGGAAGGCCCTGGAAGACGCAGCCACACAGAAATCAAAAGGTCGGTTTTCATCTTTCAGATGAAGCAGGACCAGCCAACGAAAACTTATGTTGTCCAACATAAATCTGGGGACACGCAGACAAAAACAGAACCAGTTTCTTTCCATGACCAAATCTCCCCACTGCACTGGGCCGGGGTGAGGCCACCTTGATGCCTCTCTGCCACTCTGATGGGAGGGGAGGACCCTCCTCTCACCCTAGCTAAAGGGACTTAGATCCCAGGGCCGAAATTCACTTGCTTTTGTTTTGCCTTTCTGGGGCAGTGGGGATGGAACCCAGAACTTCCCACTAGGCGAGCCATGCCCAGTCTGATTTGCTCATCTAAAAAGGCCTGGTCGTAACTACCACCATCCATGGGACCTAGCAGGTGCCAGGGACTTTCAAGATCCAAAATGTGATCCAATTTTTGCCATCCCTGTGTCCTTGGTGGCTCCTCCCCTTCAGACCTGCTGCCACAGGGAGCTGTGCACTGCACCCTGCAAGACAAAGAAAGGCTGTGGCTCTAGCTTGGGAACAGAAGGCCCTGGTTTTGACTGATAGTTAACAAGGGGGGCCCTCCTATGCTTGTTTGTTTCAAACCATAGGTGAGTAACACCAGTCTGTGATGCAGGCCTCCTCGGGTGGGTGGGCTGGAGGGGTGAAAAGGGAGTCAGTGAACTCAGGGTCTTGATTTGTACCTCACCACCACTAGTTCTTGCCTGGACTCTTGCAGTAGACTCCTAAGCTGTCCTCTGCTTCCACCTCATCTCTAACATATCAAGAAATACCATTAGGAGCTGGGTGAGGTGGTGCCTACCTGTAATCCCAGCACTCAGGAGGACCTCAAGTTCAAAGCCAGTCTGGTCTATAGATCAAGAAGACCCTTGTTTAAAAAACAAAACAAAACAAAACCCAAACTGGAAAAATGAAATACCACCCTATTCCTTCACTTAAAGTCTTAACAGTGGTCACCATTTTGCTCAGAATAAAATTTCTTTAGCCTACAAGACCTCAGGGATCTGGAAGCTTGCTCCAGCCCCTGTCCCTCCCTCCTGCTCCAGCTGGCCACATGGACCTCCTTGCTGCTCCCAGAACACAAGGTAAGCTCTTGCCTCAGGACCTTTGCACTTGCTGCCCCTCAGTGTAGATTCAATCCTTCATGCATTAGGCTCTCTGCAAACAGTGTCTGCTCTGGGAGGCCCTCTCTGGACTAGGCCGACTAAACTCTGCACCCTCCTCCTTCTTTCACTGTATTCATCTTGACACGTGTGAGGGACTGAAGGGAAATCTTTTTAGCAGACACAGGGACTGAGGCACCTTGGCAGTGTGAGTGGTGGAGGGGCAGATGGCTTATCTTTGCTTTGAATTATTTGAAAGTTTTCAAGGGAGACTGGCAAGGAGAGCTGAGTGCAAAGCAGCTGACGGCAGGCGCTCACGGTGTTGTGGCTGCCCACGCCGCCTTTCATCTGGGGAACAGATAACCTAGTACGGACTGTTCCAGCAGAGGCCTTTGGGCAAGGACCCTTGTCAGTGATTTTGGTGCCTTTGCACGCTGCCCAAGTCACAATGGAGGGCCACAGCTGGACCTCCTCAGGGTGCTTAGTTACATTTCCTCAGTGCCTAAGGAAAGCAATGACTTGCGTGCAGTTTGAGTGGGACATTTTTCTGGGTTGTATTATGACATTTGAGGGTACTTGGCACCTTTGGTTCCCTTGTACGTTCCTTCCTCCGTGAAAAACATTAAGTTCCACTTCATGTTCATGCGATATAAAGATAAATCTGTTAACACCCTGCACTAAAACACTTTCTCCCACCCTAAAGGGGTTTCTCCTTCTGACTTAAAAGGACTCAGGACATTTTACAGGCCATTAAAGTATCATTGCATCCCGGCACTGCACCTGCTGGGCCAAAGAGAAG